TCTTGGAAGTATCATATCTGCCTCGTTTCGTTTTCTCCTCCCCCCCCCCTTTCTTTAACTCTTTAATTACCGAGATCTGAACTTTCTTCAAACCCCCTCCCCCTCTTTTTCGTTTTCTCTCTCTCTCTCTCTCTTTCTCTCTCTCTCTCTCTCTCTCTCTCTCTCTCTCTCTCTCTCTCTCTCTCGCTCTCTCTTCCTCTCTCTCTCTTCTCTCTCTCTTTCTTTCTTTCTTTCTGTCTCGTGTTCACTCTCTTATTTCCTCTCCCCCCTCTCTCTCTCCCCCTTTCTCTCTCCTCCCCCTCTCTCTCTGTCTTGTCTCTTTCTTGATTTGTGTCTAGTGGGACGGCAAGTCCTACCTTCTGCTGATGTCTGCTGTATCCTACACAACCTGGATTATCAAATCTGCCTGCCTCCTAATATATCAAAATTAGATTGTCAGTTGGGCTGTACATGCTAAGGGTACATATTATCGTTGTTATAAATTATCTAACCTCATCTTGATTCGGTTGCAGTGTCACTAGTTTAGTTTATCCTTTTTCTTGTATCTTTAGATTTTGTTTGAGAGGAGGTGCATTTTTTGGTCGCTCTTCCCAATCCCTCTCCCTCATCTCCTCCCTCTTCCCACCCCCTCTCTCTTCCCTCCTCTCATGCCTCCTCTTTTACCTCCTCTCTCCTCTCCTCCGTCCTCCGTCCTCACACCCTTCCTTTCCTCCCTCCTCTCGTGCCCTCCTCCTCCCTCTTCTCCTTCTTCTTCTCTTCCCTCCTATCTTCCCTCTTCCCAGCCACTCTCCCTCCTCTGCTCCCACCTCCGTCCTGCTTCCCCCTCTCCTCCCTCCTCTCCCCCAAACCACATCACGTGACGGGTTCAGTATTCTCCCAATCCATGACGTCTGCCACATGGCCCTTCCGGCCGAGCCAGGGGAAGAAACTCTGCCGATTCCGCCATCTTGGACTTGACTCTAGACATATGTAAAGGGTAATCTATCCTGGCAAGGAATAGACTAGCACGTCGACTCCATTAAGAAGAGCTTCAATAATACAATTACCCCAGAATAATAATAGATGTGTCTCCACTGACGTCACAGAGGCTATTTTAAGTTGTTTTTCTCTTGTCTTCAGTTGTCGCTTTAGCTGGCGAGTGAATAGAAAATCAGCGTAGACAAAAGACATACATATACATAAAATGCATAATTTATTTTTTCTTAAAGGCTCACTGTGCCTTCAATTTGATTAATTTGAGACTTTGCGTTAAATTTACACGCGCGCAAGTGTGTGTTTGTGTGTGTGTGTGGGGGGGGGGGGGGGTATGTGTATGTGTGTGAGATATATATATATATATATATATATATATATATATATATATATATATATATAGAGAGAGAGAGAGAGAGAGAGAGAGAGAGAGGGAGACCGAGAGAGAAAGAGAGAGAGAGAGAACTCTATATTTGTTAATAACATACAGTCGGCTTATCTAAATCTGTGCCATAAAACATGCATGACCCTGCTGACTCGGTAACATTTACCTTACTTTACTTTTTTTTCTTCCGCATGACCCTGGTGTCGCGGGGAACATTTACCAATGGGCCTAGTTTTATTCTTTGAGCTTGTCTGTACTCTAAACTTCTGTTATGAAAGCTACATTCTTCACGTAATGTATTCTTTCAAACACAGAAATAAGCTCAAAGAAATCATATTCTGGTTTAGGAGACATCTTTACTCTGTTTCCCTAAATAGGACAGACTTCCCGTTTAGTATTTTACTAACACATGTTAAGTTTTTAATTCATGTACGCCCATTATTACATGCAAATGGGTTAATTTATGCGCATGTTGAATTTTTATTCAATATAAGCGTCTGACTGCATGTGAATGGAATCACTAAATCTTTTTCCACGTAGTACGCATGTATACCTATACTTGTCTTGCATGCTCCTTTTTGTCTGATGATTGCTGTTAAGTGTTTAATAATATTCAAATCGAGATGATTTTCGGTCATTTAAGAGTCAGGCTACAACTAGCACCAGCATCCATTATTCTCAGAGTCTAAGGTAGCAGTGAAGTGAAGTCTGAAAACTAAACATAATTTACATACATGAAGACTACAGGGGAAAAACGAAGGTGGTCACAAACTGAATATCAAGAGGGTACCAATTTTGAACGCTTGTTCACTCATAACTGTATTTCTGTTCAACTGTTGGTTGATTATTGTTGTTAGATTTACCATTCAACAACACTTAACAATAAACCACTAGTCAAACAAATATTATGAAGTTATGAGTCCACAATCTTATAAAATTGGCACCCTCACAATTTCCAGTTTGAGACTACCGTCGTTTTCCCCTGTGCTTTTCAAATATTTTTAGTAGGCCTTGTATGGGCGGTTTTATAAGAACGGGGGGTGGAGGGGGGGGGGTAAGCCGGCTGATAATTATAGTGCAAAGTTGGTTGTTGAATTGGAAATCTACTTTGGATGCTTGGAGTTGTAGCTGTATTGTTTTCCCTTTGGTTTTCTAGCACGGTTTTCAAAAATGGAGTTCAAACCTTTGATGATTTTGTGATCAATTATGGGTGTTTTTGTGTATAGTATATAAAATGTCGGTTACATATTTGCTGAAAACTTTTACACTATCATACCTTTTCTATCATTGTAATAGTAACATGTCTCTCTTCGGATATTTGAAAGACAAGTAAAAGTCCAGTTGTGGTCATCATTTGGGTCTTAATGGTCTTACTTCGCCCATCCACGGTTTCCACTGTCTGTATGGAAATATCGTCAGCGTAGCAAGCAACCTACTTAAGTCCGATTGGACACTTTTTACACCAAAGACCACTACAAAAAACCCCAAAAAAACCCAACCAAGAAAACATCAATCCCAAACCTAGTTTTTGTTGTGCTTTGTTGTGCTGTTCCTATCAGGAATCTTGAAAAGCAAAAGAAATATAAGCCTTGACCAAAGAAATATACTGCTTTTTGGTGATGTTGAACAATGTTTTTTTGATAGAGCTTTGAAAAATTGTAAAAATGGAAAATTGTCACAATTTTGACTTAAGCAGATTTTTTGCGACAACGAGCATATGTGATGTTATACGCGAAAAACTCTTATTAGGAGTTCTAAGAATTTGGCGGAGGGGGTTGAGAGTGGTTCAACTGAACTTTTACCGATAGGCTTTGTTTCTCTGATTCTTCAGATTCTACTTTTCTATATCCATCCCTCCATCCATCGAAAAACCATCTTAAGCCCCCCCCCCCCCCTTTCAAAAAAAAAGAAAAAAAAGAAAAGAAAACCCGAGAAAAGTAAAGGCAGATTAAACCTACATTTACACAATATACAGAGGAGTTCTGTCTCCTGTGTTCCCAGGATATGTTTGCCAGAAACTATCTTAACGTGCATGTGTTTAACGCCCCTATCAACACTGCTAGGTTATCTAAGAGGCTGAAGCGCCGAATTTAATGCCTATCTCTGATATGTAAAGTTGTTCCCGCATCCGATTCGGACGTTGGGGATTGCCTTGTTAGTGAGACACAATATGCGAAGGCCCAGGAAGTTGTCTCACTAACAAGGCAATCCCCAATGTCCGGATCGGATGCGGGAACAACTTATCTTTATACTCCGATATGACATAGCCATATGGGCTGTGAAGGCCCTGAAAATTCCCCATAAACACCCATGATAAAGAGCGCCCAGTCTAGGATTCGAACCAGCCATCCGCTCTGTAGTCCAGCATGATACCAGCTGATCTAAAGGAGCGTCCTCAGTTGTCTTAGTAGTAGACATTGCATTATCGCATTGCATTGCATTGCACGATTCCTATTTCTGAATGTCTTGCATGTCCCCAATCTCAGTTGCGCCTATCTTTTAATACAATAAATGTATTATTATTTGTTCATTTATTATTTTTATTATCTTTTAAATGTAGGTGCTTTTAATGCCCCCACCGACACAATTTAGATAATTCAGGCCAATGGAATCTACACCTTTCTCCTCTTCCTTCTCCTCATTCTCTTGTTCTTCTTCATCTTCATCTTCATCTTCTTCTTCTTCTTCTTCTTCTTCTTCTTCTTCTTCTTCTTCTTCTTCTTCTTCTTCTTCTTCTTCTTCTTCTTCTTCTTCTTCTTCTTCTTCTTCTTCTTCTTCTTCTTCTTCTTCTTCTTCTTCTTCTTCTTCTTCTTCTTCCTCCTCCTCCTCCTCCTCCTCCTCCTCCTCCTCCTCCTCCTCCTCCTCCTCCTCCTCCTCCTCCTCCTCCTCCTCCTCCTCCTCCTCCTCCTCCTCCTCTTCTTCTTCTTCTTCTTCTTCTTCTTCTTCTTCTTCTTCTTCTTCTTCTTCTTCTTCTTCTTCTTCTTCTTCTTCTTCTTCTTCTTCTTCTTCTTCTTCTTCTTCTTCTTCTTCTTCTTCTTCTTCTTCTTCTTCTTCTATGCCTTGAACACCGCCACCACCACTACCACCACCACCACTACTACTACTACTACTACTACTACTACTACTACTACTACTACTACTACTACTACTACTACTACTACTACTACTACTACTACTGCTACTGCTGCTGCTGCTGCTACTGTCATATCATTCTATTGTGGTTTTGCAGTTATCATTAGAATTTATGATAATAATTATCAGTTTGTCTTTTGCTGTTACCAAGTTTGTTAACAGTATTACTATCATTATCATTGCCATCATTATTACTGTTATGGTTATTCTTACACTAATTTATTCTGTTCCTGCAGAGGCCTAAAGAAAAATATGAAAAGAATACATGCATTTATTGCTATACAAAATGATCCTTCTAAGAAAGATTATACGGTACTTGTCTCCCTGAAGTTGCCAATAAAACCATGTTTTTTTCTTCTCTCAAACAGATGGGTATCTGAGATTTGGCCGGAGCATGTCAGTGGAAGAGCCACATTTCCGCCTGGAACGCCGGTCCTACCCTCCCGTGGTCTACCACAAAAGATTCCTGAGGTTCGGACGTTCGCAAGAACCGGACATAGAAGACTACGCCCGAGCTATTGCTTTAATTGAATCAGAGGAGCCGTTGTATAGGAAGAGGAGGTCTGCAGACGCGGACAGCCAATCAGAAAAGGTTTTACACCGAGCGCGAAGAGAGGCGGAGAGTGAACACAAGTCATTGGAGGAAGTTTCGCCTGATACGAAGCAGGATGTTGAAAAGCGAGACGCTGATGATGTCTTGGATGCCGAGAAAAGATTTATGCGGTTCGGGAAAAGGTTTATGCGATTTGGAAGGGGCTCCAGCGATGATGATGAAAGTGGTGATGACGATGTGCAGGATCTGACGGATATTGGTGATGGTCTTGGGGGCGAAGGGGAAGTAAATAAACGGTTCATGAGGTTTGGGAAACGGTTCATGCGGTTCGGGAAACGCGAAGACGGGGAACCGGATAAGCGGTTTATGCGATTCGGGAAGAGTATGGCAGATAACGATCTGGACAAACGGTTTATGAGATTTGGCAAAAGGTTCATGCGGTTTGGGAAAAGTCTTCCGGATAGTGAGGTAGATAAACGGTTTATGAGGTTTGGGAAAAGTGTAGATGGTGATGTAGATAAACGGTTTATGAGGTTTGGGAAAAGTGTAGATGGCGATGTAGATAAACGGTTTATGAGGTTTGGGAAAAGTGTAGATGGGGATGTAGATAAACGGTTTATGAGGTTTGGGAAAAGTGTAGATGGTGATGTAGATAAGAGATTCATGAGGTTTGGGAAAAGTGTAGATGGTGATGTAGATAAAAGGTTTATGAGATTTGGGAAAAGTGTAGATGATGATGTAGATAAGAGATTCATGAGGTTTGGGAAAAGTGTAGATGGTGATGTAGATAAAAGATTTATGAGATTTGGGAAAAGTGTAGATGATGCTGTAGATAAGAGATTCATGAGGTTTGGGAAAAGTGTAGACAGTGATTTAGACAAAAGGTTTATGCGATTTGGGAAAAGCGTTGGGAGCGATGAAGTTGACAAAAGATTTATGAGGTTTGGGAAAAGTGTAGGAAGCGACGAAGTGGATAAAAGGTTTATGAGGTTTGGGAAAAGCCTTGGAACTGATGATGTGGACAAACGGTTCATGAGATTTGGCAAAAGTCTTGGAACCGATGATGTGGACAAACGGTTCATGCGATTTGGGAAAAGTCTTGGAACTGAAGATGTAGACAAAAGGTTCATGAGATTTGGCAAAAGCCTTGGAACTGATGATGTGGACAAACGGTTCATGAGATTTGGCAAAAGTCTTGGAACCGATGATGTGGACAAACGGTTCATGAGATTTGGGAAAAGTCTTGGAACTGAAGATGTAGACAAAAGGTTCATGAGATTTGGCAAAAGCCTTGGAACTGATGATGTGGACAAACGGTTCATGAGATTTGGCAAAAGTCTTGGAACTGAAGATGTAGACAAACGGTTCATGAGATTTGGGAAACGGTTTATGAGATTTGGTCGAAGTGTTGGGGATTCCAAATATCGGAGCGCAAGCAGCGAAAACGTCATGACAACAGACTCAAAACAAACGACAGAACAAGCGACAAATAAGTCCTAAAATACAACAGTGATATTTGTTAACAACGTGTGGTGTGATTTCTTCCTTCATATATTATTTGCTTGACAAATGTGATTTGGGATAAAGTACAAAATGTTATACTTTGTACTCTTTTTTCGCTTATTTTCTTTTCAAATATCGCTTTCTCAACCGGTTTGCTGAGAACAGTGAACAGAAAGCACTGCCAACATCTTTGCATCTTCTTGCTTCTTCTATTCTCTCTTCTTTATATAATTAAATTAATAACAACAACAACAACAACAACAGCAGCAGCAGCAACAACAACAACACCACCAACAACAACGACAACAGCAACAACAACAAAAGCGACGACAACATTAATAAAACAACCACAACAACAGCAACACCAAAAGCAACACCAATAATGACAACAGTCATATAGCAACACCAATAATGACAACAGTCATATAGCAACACCAACAGCATTTGATAATATCAACAACAACAACAACAATAACAATAACAATAGCAACAATATTGTCCTTATAATTTCCACGAAGGAAAGATAAGGTCGCACAACGTCTTGGTGGAAGGGCGCTCGGAAAACACGGGCAAGACGAGTGGTCACTGTCCATTCTAAGAGCCCCCCCACCCTTCCGAAAAAAAATTAAGATAAAAAATTAAAATAAAAAAACCTAATAATAAACAAATCAAAACTAAACAACACCAAGCACCCCCCCCCTCTAAGCACGTTTCATTTCAGGATCCCTGTTTTCGCTTTCAGTATAACGTTCAAACGTTGATAATGTCACGAGGCCAGGGCAGAATAAAAGAGGATTGAACTTTTCCTGTTGTGAAGACGTTCATTTACTCTGAACTAATGCATCGTTTTATTAGTTTTAACCCTTTAACTGTCTGGCCCGTGACTGTCTCAAGCTCAATGGCTTTTAAAACAAGTTTTAGTAAGAGTTTTGCGGCACTTGTAACAGAATTAGGTCATATAAGTGCCGAAGACTAGAGGTGTTGCAAGACAATAACATAGCCCCCCAAAAAAAGAAAAAAAAAAGAAAAGGAGGAGAGATAAGGACGACAGATGTTTGATAGGAAAGAAGAAGCAAACCACACCAGAGCACCCACCAACAACCTACTCTTTGGCTTTACCATGATACAGACTTGTGAGTACAAGCGAATTCCAGTGTAATACATCCATGTTTACCACAGTACAGTTCTCTTTGGCCGCCCCGTTAGCTCAGCTGGTATCAGGCTGGACAACGAAGCGGACGATCCTAAGTTCGAATACCAGACTGGGCGTTCTTGAACTCGGGTCGTTTTGTAGTTTTTCAAGGCTCTTAACCCCGGAAACAGCGGGTCACAAGAGTGTGACAAACATACAAAAGAAGTAGAGGAAAGTGACGTTAGTAAGGATTAGGAAAGAAAAAGCAGCAGTTCCCTGTTGTAGTTTAGGCACAGTTATGAGCATGACATCAATGAATCAGCCCATTTACAATTCTGCTGGGAATAAGAAAAGGTTAATGTCCCCCCTTTGGGAAGGGCCTAAAGAAACTTCAGTCAGTAGCACCGCCCCAGGAGGTTAATAGTGTTGATTGTGGCACTAAACCCATGTACTTGCTTTACAGCGCTCCTTTTTCAAGTAATCATAAAAGTCCATAGCTTTTTTGTTGTTGAATTATAAAAAAGTTCCACCCAACCAGCCACCATTTAACATAACTTACCCTAGAAGCTCATTCCTTATAAACCAGCACTTTTTAACCTTTGAATAACTATCGTCTACTTTTGTCACCTTTACTTTAATACTTTAAGAGTTTATCTTTTCGTACCGCCCACCTGCATGTATTTCTAAGAGGGGCATTAAATAATACCTGTCATTACCCGGGTGATCCCCACTATACACCAAAATTACCAAATAGCCCACTATAGTGCGGTCAAAAATTCGTGGTGCAACTTATCCTCAAATATCTCTCTAACGGGTGAATCAATGTCATCCATACTTTGCAAAGCACTTTGTATCAATTTGTCTTAACAAAATCATATTTTTCTAGAACAATTGGGGTTAGATTACAAAACATTTCTTCATAAATTTATAAAAAATACTTGAAATCTCTGTCACTCGTAAAATGGTATTGTTCACAGCACGTCTCGCTTCTCACACACATTTTGATTACTCATTTGGCCTACGTCACAGCTCATCAATGACAATTTTTACTTGCAAAACTTGTAACAAGAAATCATTGCTATAGTGAACACATTTTTGCACTTATGGCTCTCAAAAAATGCGTTCAATAAGCATAATGTCCCGATTAGAAAAAAACCTGAGGAACTTGCTATTAAAAGCAATATTGCCCCTGCTGTAAACCTTAAAAAATCTGTAGAAACCACTCGCTTGGATTTTTTTGTTAGTATTACATTTATTAAGGAATTTTCTAGAATGCAGCTTGCAGGTGTTTGCAAAAATGTTGATCTGTTATGACAAATTGAATTGATACAAGTCACTGTGCAAAAATTGGAGATTGATACAAGTCACTGTGCAAAAATTGGAGATTGATACAAGTCACTGTGCAAAAATTGGAGATTGATACAAGTCACTGTGCAAAAATTGGAGATTGATACAAGTCACTGTGCAAAAATTGGAGATTGATACAAGTCACTGTGCAAAAATTGGAGATTGATACAAGTCACTGTGCAAAAATTGGAGATTGGTACAAGTCACTGTGTAGAAATTGGAGAACCTATGTTCGATAGTTTAGGAGATACTTGAAAATAAGTCGCACCACGAATTTTTGACCGCACTATAGTAGACGTTATCACTTAGGTTAGCAAGTACTAGTACTAGTATAAACCCTTTGCTAGCCCACATCGTTATCCACTCCATTCGCCGCTCATATGACCTTATGCAGTTGCGAGCACCGAAAAACCTCTACTAAAACAAACAAAAATTATAAACACATTTGTTCATGTTGATGGGTATTGAACAAACTTGTATTATGATATGAATATCAGACACTGAACAGTGTGCAGTGTGATGTAAGTCCAGTTTACCTTAGAGAGCACCACTTGACTCAATTTGGAACTAAAAGAAGGACAATGAGGAAAAGATTGCGGACACATTTGACAAATGCGAGAGTGGTGATCTGCCCTTCGCGGCATGTCCATGGTGCGCACCGGCGCGGCGAAGTTCTTTCGTGGAGAGCAAAGAGCGGCGGCCATGACAGCGCCTAGTCTATGATGTTATAATTCACGTCTATGGGGCATTGTTACTTTCTATATATTGTAGCTTTTAAGGACAAGCGGGCTAACCCAGATTTCGGGGGTTTCCAGAAATCTTGACCTTTACCAAAAGTGGGCATTGCCCTACCTATAGGAGAAGTTTGGTTTCATTGGTGTGTATATTTGTTTGGTTATAGTGAAAACTCTCCTTTTTTCTAAAGGAAACTGATAAGGGGAAAAAACTTGACTTTCGATTTTCTGAAAACAGTATTTTTCGGGATAGCCACTTTGTGCTTAAAAGCGAACATATTAAGCTCGAACATAATGTGGGATTAATTGCAACTGATAACTTTTAATGACATTAACTTTTGGTGTTTGTTTATACAAGACATTCTCAGAGATGATATTTAAGCCTCTGATGGTTTGCTTTTCAGTTACTAATTTAAGAAAAAGCACAATTAGACCTTTTTATGTAGATACTAATACAAAAGGTAATCTAGTTTTGCTTTGTTCAATCTTCCAAACTTGAGTGGATAGAGTTGGTATAATAAGTAACTGGTTTGCAATGTATACGTAATCTTATTTCTGCGCATTTGATTGTTTCTCGTGTAGTCCCGGGAGGAAGGTATATGGTCGCTTTCAAGCTCAAGGGGGCTATCCCGAAAATGCTGTTTTGAGAAAATCGAAGGTAAAGTTTTTGCCCCAAGTTCAGTTTCCTTAAAAGACAAGGACAGTTTTCTCTATAACAAAACACATATATACACCAATGAAACCAAATTTGTCCTATAGGTAGGGCAATGCCCACCTTTAGTGTAGGTCAAGATTTCTGGAAACCCGCGAAATCCGGGTTAGCCCGCTTGTCCGTGAGATCAGAAGGGAGGGCATTGTTTTGCAAACATAAACGCCGTCTCTTCAAGATCAGCTCACTGTCACTGACGTTATGGGTTCAAGTGAATTGGCGGTATTTAAACGGCTGGTTTGAGAAAAAAAAGACATTATCAAACTTTCAGAATCAAACAAAAAAGCATAATTAATTACACTTTTGATTGCATCTAGGTAGCTCATACCCATGTTTTGCAGTATCCTCTTTGCACTTTATTACTATCATTAACTCAGGAGACCCAAGAACGCTCAGAAACATTCAAGGCTTTCCGGGAAGCATAGGGTGCAAGCTACCGATTAAACGCTCAAACATTAACAAACTGACAAGATCTTTTACCGCTTATAGCTAGGTTTCAACAGTATATTATGTTTATTCATTAAAAAAAACCGTAAGAAAATTTTAAACGCAGGAATACAGTTATATTCTGTTACCTGCTCCAGTATTCGCGTGTGTGTGCGTGTGTATGTGTATGTGTGTGTGTGTGTGTGTGTCTGTGTCTCTCCCTCCCCCCCCCCCCCTCTCTCTCAATTTCTCTCTCTCTGTCCCCCCTCTCGTTCTTTATTATTCAAATGCAAAATCTAGCGAAAAGGGATTAAGCAATTGATAGGTCACCACAATTCAGCATTGTTCAGAGCTACCCCCCTTCCTTTTCGAAACATTTTTGGAGATGATTTTGTTTTGAGAATTTCCTCGAAGGTACGACAAAAACCCCCCAATTTCAGCCAATGTTCGAGGTCTGAGCTATGGTCTCTGTACACGGAAAATAATCACAGGCCTTGAATTTTTCGGCCCCAGACTTGTCTGAGGTGGAAGTTACCATTCATAATGAAACATCCGAGATCAACATGGATTTCAGTTTAATTAAACAGTATTCGGTAATTGTTTTCCAGAAGCACTAGAATGACTTTTTCCTGTAGTCAGGAAAAGCCCCCCCCCCGAATAGAACTGAAA